CTGCCTCCAGGTACTATGAAGAATAGCTTGACTCCCTCTTCTTTGTGACAACCCCTGAGATATTGGAACACTGCTATCATGTCACCCCTTGTCCTTCTCTTCATTAAACTTGTAATATAACTTGTAATATTTGCTTCCTGCTTTGGTATATTCTTTTGAACACAACTAGTCCAGATGAGTCAGGAGGACTAAAAAAAACCAGTCTCTTGACCCCAGTAGGCTTGGTCTATTTCAGCAAAAAGGTCAGCAGCAAACTTGTCAAATCAATGGAGAGTAATCAGGTGTCACGGCACTCTAGTTCAGAGCTTTTCAACCGGTGGTATGCATACCACCAGTGGTACATTGGCACCTGGCAGGTAGAACAAAACTATGCCTAACCAAGTGTAGCGGGGGGAGGGAACGAGCTAAAGTGGCGCAGCGTAGGACTTGCCATCTGGAACTGCAGGGCTGCTGGACCGAGTCTAAGGCCCCAGAATCTGCAGTTCTGGCACACCCTGAAGAAAAAGGAAGAGGAGGATAGAGACAGGAGAAGCTATAAAAGGAGGCAGTTTTGGCGGGGGGGGGGGAGAGAGAGAGAGAGAGAGAGAGAGAGAGAGAGAGAGAGAGAGAGACAGAGAGAGAGAAGAGTCAGAAGAGAAAAGGCTTTTGTCAGCGAAGCGATGAGAGAGAGAGACAGGAAAGGCTTTTGGGGAGACAGAGAGGAAAGCCTGCAAGACAGAGAGGAAAGGATTTGGGGGTAAAGCAGTGGTGGGATTCAAATAGTTCGTATCACTTTGACAGAACTGGTAGCTAGTTTTTTGTTGCCCAGGTCCAGAATGGACTTCTGGAAGCAGTACCAAACAGAGAACTGGTTGATCACATATTTGAATCCCACTGAGAGAGAGAGACAGAAAGGGGAGCTTTTGCGAGTAAAGGGTGAGGAGAAAAAGAGAGGAGAGAGAGAGAGGAAGAAGGGCCGACCAGCCAACTGACCATCGAGGTAGTGGTGCATTTTAATAAATATTGAGAAATTCATCATACATTTGTCACTGTAAAGGGAAAGTGATTCAGCAAAGGAACAACCATCGAAGAAATTAAAACCGGTACTTTTTTCCTTTTTTAATTTTTTTTACAGTTTATAACATTTTATTAGATTACAGAATAAAATACAAAAAATAAAATACAAAAGGAAATAGTAAGTCACAGTGGGGAGGAAAAAGGTGGAAAAAAAAGTGAGGAGGAGAAGGGAAAAAGAAAAGTCTTTGACTTCTGACTTCTTCTGTTGCAGTACAAGGAAGCATTAACATTGAACCTCAACTTTTATACTTTTCCATAATATTACAAACTAGCCATTTCTATAACAACAAACAAATCTAACCAGTAAAAGTCAAACCCCCCCCCTTTTTTTTAAAGTCATCAAGTTTTGACACTTTGCTAAGCACTGGTGGTACTCGAATATTGTCATGTCCTAAAAGTGGTATAGTCTGTGAAAAGGTTGAAAAGCCCTCCTCTAGTTGATGCTATGGCCGCAGGGAGAAGACAGTATGTTGCATGCCCTTGCCTTGTTTGCCAGTACAAAAACTGACCAACCAGTGGAACTTTTAGTCACCCTTCTTCCTTCGGTCCATATTTGAAGCAGTGAAAGCCTGCTCCCCCTCCCTTCTTTCAGATTTATTTTGCTGTTGAAGATTCCTGTTTGGTCTTGTGACAAGTTGGAAGGAAGGATACAATCATTCTCTTTCATTCTCTCGATCTTACCAGCTTTCCAAGTTCCAATACTTCCCCTTTCTTTTCCTTCGCATGTTATATGAATACTGCCACTCTCATACAACCTTGATTATTATTCATCGCAATTTACTTTTTAATATCAGATAATAATCCTCCCCCTTTATCCTTATTCTGTGCTGTTGCATATGTACTAAAACAAACTAGCCTCTGAGCCAATTCGTCTTCCAATTGGAACCTCTTTTCTACCACGCAGGAAAGAATTCCTGCAGCAGTAGGCTAATTTCCTTCCACTTTTGCCCCATTGTTCCTGTTCCAGAAGGGTTTATTTATATTATATTTATTATTTGTAGAACAGTCACCATTATGCACATATGTATATCCTAAATATGAGTTGATCATAATTCCCTAATAATTCCCTAACTGCTACGATCCATTTTACTGACTATCCTCTGCACTTTAAAGAGAAGCATGAGACACGTGCACATTGTGCTAAGCCATGGTTTACTTAAATATAGATCACTGAATAGGCCATATTTGATTGAGTCACACACTATAATAAGCCATAAACCACACTGTATAAATCACAGTGGCTGGGTTTACAGGTTAAGCCAAAACCAAATTCCATTATGGCTTATTACAAAAATCCACAGCCTTTCAGATCCCTACGTGTACATGCAAAATATTGTGTAATGTCTCAGGGTCTCTCTAACCTTATTCCAGGTCTCCCAAGCATGCTATATTCTGGGAGATTTTCATAAATAAATAATCTTACATGATCTCGTGTAAGAAATTCTCTATACCATGTTTGGTTGGTAAACAGGTTGATGGATCAGTTTGAAATGTTTCCATTATTCAGTGATAAATGATAGGCATTCTCAGTTGTCCATACCTCAGCAAAGTTTCAGACCTTGTTTAATAGTCATCAGTAGAATTAGGAATCATGGCAGGTTCATTAGGAATGGGTCCAACACAACTGAAAAGTATCCAGTTTGTCTTCACTAACTACTTGTATATTAGGCAATATAATCGTGCTCAGATAAACTCCTCTTTAACAGCCCATATAGCACTAGGAATAGCACTTACACTTATATGCTGCTTTATAATGCTTTACAGCCCTATCTAAGTGGTTTACAGAGTCAGCATATTGCCCCCAACCATCTGGTCCTCATTTTACCGATCTCGGAAGGATGTGGAAAGCTGAGTCAACCTGGAGCCGGTAAGAATCGAAGGTGGTGGGCAGAGTTAACCTACAATACTACATTCTAACAACTGCAGCACCACGGCTCTGATATTATTCAAGGCAGCATAGGATTATTGAAGTTATCACATTATAGACAATTAGTGATGACTTTTGATGATACGAAGCCAAAATACAGGACTTTGGGATGGAGGTAGCCTTTTGAAATGTAGACGTCTTCTGGTCTGAACTTTTTAATTTCTAGTTCTCTGAGGTACAGTATCTAGTGAAAGGCAACTGTGGGAGTTGCAATCCAAAAATTTGGCGGGGGTCAAATTGCCTGTTTTTGTCATAGGGAAGTTCCTTTTTTACTTCAAGTAATGTAGTTTGGGAGACACTTAGGCAGTACTATCACTCGGTCCCAAAAGGAGCAATGTTTGGGAGCAATCCTAACCAGCCAACTGAACAGAATGGGGACTCTGCCTTGAAATCCTACTCTGAATGCACCATATGAGATAATCTAGGTTGGTCCTAGCCCAGCATTGTTCTTGTATTTCATATTTCTGAATACAAAACAGCCACAAAGGAATGTGGCAATAGATTGTCACGGCTAGAAATTCATGTGGTTTGTGGTTTGCATAGTCATTGCGGTTTTCTGATTTCCTTTATAATCCCTCAGTACACCCACAGATAATAGCATGCTCTCATAAGTCTGAACAGTTTCTTACTATACCGCTGTTCTGCCTGCACGCATATGTATAATCAGAGAGATGAATATCTCAGTGCCTTTAGTTGTAATTTTTTTATCAGTTACTTATCAGAAATAATTATTCAGATTATTTGAATAATAATAATTATTCAATTATTGAATACTGCAAAACAGATTTATAGGTATGACATAATAGCTTAATAATTTTAGAATAGTCTTGCATGATTCTGATGAATATACATTCAAGATAATTGGACATAAGTCTTTTAATGTTTCTGTAAATATATTTCTCTTTGCCACATTAATGTATTTGTTTAATATGTTTTTGTTGGTTGTGTGAATTCATGGGTTGCAGAAACATTCTTTCCTACTTAGGTGGTGCTTTTGAAAGTTGATCTGAAAACGAGAGTGAAGAAGGGAAGAACATTTCCTATACTATTATATTGTATGGATTACTGCTTTCTATTTATTCCTTGAGCATTAGTTTATTAACAGTGATTCAAGGCACCGGGCTAGAAACTGGAGACTATGAGTTCTAGTCCTGCCTTAAACACAAAGCCATTTAATTCCTCTTCCTCAATCCTAGGGAGGGAGCAGCGGCAAACCACTTCTGGAAAACTTGCCAAGAAAACTACAGGGACTTGTCCAGGCAGTTATCAGGACTTGAAGGCACCAAAGGTAGAGGAAAAAAAAATCGTCCTCTGTATAGCATTTCAGCTATTTACTTTCTTGGATTTTAGCAGGAATACTTAATACTTAAGAGCTGTAGTGGTGCAGTGGGTAGAATGCAGTACTGCAGGCTAATTCTGCTGCTAACTGCCAGCAGATCAGCAGCTTGATTCTCACCGGCTCAAGGTTGACTCAGCCTTCCATCCTTCCAAGGTCGGTAAAATAAGGACCCAGATTGTTGGGGGTAATATACTGGTTCTGTAAACCCCTTAGAGAGGGTTGTAAAAGCACTGAAAAGTGGTACATAAGTCTAAGTGGTATTGCTACTGCTATAATGTAAAATGTAGGAGGAAAGCCATATTAGTTTATAGTAGCAAAAATAAATAAATATCAGCCTGTAGTGCCAACTAATAATTCTGAATAAAAATAGTATGTTTTTTTTTTTTGAACTGCAGGATGCATCTGATGAAATGAGCTGTGACTCCCAAAATAGTGTGCCTTTTAACAAAATTTGTTAGAAAAGGTACTATGAGTCTTAACTGGACTGAACAAACTGAAATCCCAACCCACCACTCTTTAATGTCAATCAGATGATCTATGAAATACAAATTCAGGGGTTTAATTTATATCATATATATACATATACATACATACATACATACATACATACATACATACATACATACATATATATAAACTGCAAAATGCTTTTAAGTTCTTCATTACATCATTTCTTACCTTTGTGGAACTATGTGATCGGGCTATAAGCAAGACAGATCTAAAACTCCCTCAGAGACGTGGGCGTTTGTTAATATTGCCCATTCAGGCAGCTTTATACGTAGATTGAGTTTAAAAAATGTTCATAGAATGTCCTCCTCCAACTTTATACCTGAAAAAGATGAATTCAGCAAACACCTTTAGATACAAGTAATACAAGTGAAGCCAGGCACCGCCTTGCGACTTTTAGCCTCCAGCTACGAATCAATGGAGGTGCATGTTTGGAATAACTAAAGGTAGTGTTTATTCTTCTGGATGGAGAAAGTCTTCCAGGAAAGGCAGCTCACCTTGATATGCAGCTCAGCCTTATCTAAACATTTTTTTGATTGTGTTAAATGGGTTGAAAAGTTTATTTAGGATTGTGAGTTTATTACCTGTTTTGCAAGTGAGGCCTAAACCTGCTGCTCAATGCACTTATAATGAAAGAGTCACTGACAGTAATGGGGGTTCCTTCAAGGGGAAAATGCTTAAATCAGGTGTATATTTTGTGCATGTGTACAGTCAGTATAAAAGAACATTGAAAGGGTTGAAATTCGTGGTTGTCTTTTTCTCTCTACATTTCCATGCCAGCAGAAAAAAGCTCATTGTTTGTTTTGTTAAGTATCACATGTTAAAAAAAATCAGTGGGTTAAGGATTAAATGGTCTCTGAAACTAAAACAGTACTCCACTAAACTTAAAGAAGACACCTCGCTGTGTCTGTAAATGACAAGGGCTTATTCAGGCTGTCCTTAAAGAAAGAAAGCTCCAATGAGAAATGTAACTAATTTAACTAGCTGTGGCAATATAATTACTACAGTGATTGTTGAAGTTGGGGTGAAATAAAAAGCAGGCAGCCCTAAGAGGCTTGTCCTTCCTCTAGCATTCCAAGGGCCTCAGTAGCTTTCTTGCTTGCTATTATGGCAAAGAATCCAGTTCTTGCTTAAAATGAGTTCCTAGTCAGTTTGGGAATAGCCATTGCTTGCAGTGTACTTTTTTGGCCACTCTGCCCAACATACTAGAAGATTGCCAAATTGGGGAAGACTGAATTGAATTCTAGTATTTGGGAAGTTTAAATGTCTTCTAATACAGGTAGTCCTCAAGTTAGGACCACAACTGAGCCGAGAATGTAGGTTGCTGAAATGTTTGTTAAGTGAGTTTTGTCCCATTTTATGACTTTTCTTGCCAATTTGTTAAGCGGATCATTGCAGTTGTTAAATTAGTAACACAGTTATTAAATGAATTTAGCTTCCCTATTGATTGTTTGTCAGAAAGTAGCAAAAGATGGTCACATAATCCTGGGACACTGCAACTGTCTTAAATATAACCAGCTGCCAAGCACCCAAATGTAAATCATGTGACCACACCTTTATTGCAGCAAAAATCACGAAGCATCTTGTGACACATAAAATAAACAAGTTTTGACACAAGATGTTCATTCCAGAGTGGCTAATCTTTATTCCCTTAAGCTTGATTTAGACTTGTCCACAACTTCACATAGGCGCTGACGCATATCTGTGCTACAAAGCGGTTGATGGATAAGCATAGGCCGCAGATGGTTGCAGACAGGTTGACATCCACACCTCCCAAATCTCAACTATAGGTTGGGTGGAGATGTGAATTCTGTCTGCTGATTAGTTGATCCAACTTCCTGTTGGAAGGCGGGTAGATGACAAGGTATTATTCAAACAGCAAAATGGAGCAGCTAGAGTATAAATGCAACAACTTTGCAACATCACTGAATGAGACACATACATTCACTGATGTGCAGTGATGCAGAATCTGATCCAGGCTTTATTTTTAACAATGTATCTGTCTAGGTTCCGATCCAGGAGACCAAATAAATCAGAACTCTGAGGCCGGAAAATTCTTCAAGGAACATGTTTACTGGATACATAATATCAGCATGGTCAAAAGTGCAACCAGATCTAAACTTTCCCACCAAGAATCAAAGTAATACAATGTAACAATTCCCACCCCTCTACTCATGCTATCCAATAGAACACCTTGGCGGGATTTCTGACTCAACAATCCTTCTTCTCCCCTATGGTATGGGAATGACCTTGGTTCCCACAAGATTTGCTCATGTTTAGACTACCAGAAATACTTTCCCCCCTCCCTTTCTTGTGGCAATCTAGAACAAAAATGGCTGCAGCCAGATTTGTTATAGAGTTGACAGCATCTATATGACAGAGACATCAAGTTGCTGTCTGCTTTGTTTGTTGGTTTTGCCCGTACTTCTCTCAGCTTTTTAAAAACATTATAAAATATTACTGTTTTGGGGAAGAAAAGAATAGAAATTCTTTATTTTCAGCATACTTTCATGTAATCTTTTTGATATCTTTTTGGTAGCAATAAGGTATACTGGACAGGAAAACCTATTTTTATTTTTCTGCAACTAAACACATGTTTATTCTAGAGAACTGCAGTACTTTTTTTTAAAGCACTTTCTTTTGGAATGCTCTTTCTTTTTGAATGTATCTTTTAATTCATATTAAACATATTTTTCCAGTTTAGTTTTTTTTCAACTGATCACTAGGGACTTGAATAGTTTTGGTGTTAACACTAAGCTTTTCCAAAAAGTGCTGTCTTCATAGCTGGATTCACTTTTTTGTTGTGTGTTTATTCCCACCTCTTTTCTATTTTTAAAGGTTTGAACTTAATTTTAGCAAAACTTAACATTTTGATTAAAAATAATTATGCTTAAAGAAACTACTCCTGTGGATTATTTACTTTCCTCTGCTCATATGACTAGATAATAGTAGGATACATGTGCAAATACAAAATCTCAGCCTTCCCCAAGTATGGAAATTTATATTTTGTCAATAGGAGACTAACACTGGAAGAGCAAAAAAGCCCCCACCTCAAAGCAACTCAGAGATGTGATGTAAATTCAGTTCCGTTTTATGGATTTTATGAACTTCTAAAGAATATTGTCCATGTAGTTGACACCACAGGGCTGGTCAACATAACTACTTTGCCCCAGTAGCACAAGTAGTGGCCACTGATCATTTTGGGGCAGAAAGGAGGCTTTTGACTTCCACCCCACCCACCACTCCAGCAAGGACAACCTCCACCCACTTTTTTGCTGTGATGGGTCAAAAGTTGTGTTTTCTGATTCTGTCTCGTTTGATTTGCGTGCTTCATTTCATGGCCTCCACTCCAACTGGCTGTGTGCTCTACGCAGAAAATTCTTTCGGTCCCTGGTTGTTGCCCACCCAGGCCATATTTTTTACAACTTCACCCAAGGCATGATGAAAAACTGCCTCCCCCCTCCTTTTTTTTAACAAGTTCATTGATGTATGAAACAACGGCTCTTTCTTTTTTTCAAAACAAAACTGGCAAGCCTTCTGCTACTTTCCCCTTCTAGTCTAAATGGCAGGAATAATGGTAAGAGGTATTGTTACTATTTTAAACCAGCACACAGGAGGTGTAACAAAGCGGAAGAAACTGCCAATCAAAAGTGGCATGGACTGAATATCAGGGTATTCCAGAGACCAAGCAGAGAAACCAGGAAAGAAATCCCTTAAAATGGCCTAAAGCAATTTGAGGCTGCCCTGTGGAAAACTCATAGACAACGCCGAAAATGCAAAGGATGATGCATGTTCATTGGGAAGAAGGTACCCTCTAAGTAGTTAAAAGCATTTTGGAATCTTGTTCCGGCACTGTTGAGTGGTGAAAGAATAGCATATTCCACCCAAACCCAAGGGCATGATGTTTGTGAAGGCTTCTGACACATTTCAGCTGCCCCTCCATCAACAGCATCTGCTCTTGAGGGAATCTCTTCAGCTTGCTGAATGACGCTGCTGCCCCCAGTGTTGCTTTTATTTAAATAATAGCGAGTGTTCTGAGGCTTAATTTCATTGTGTAGCTTCTGTGAGGGCTGGTGCACAAATTTACTCCATTAAAATATATTGAGGTTCTTATGCTGGTCTATGACCATAATAAATGTTTGTTTGTTGGTTTGGTGTTTTACTTAAGCAGAACCAAAGACATATTGCTAGGGGTTATTATTTTCTTTAAATCCCATGGTACTTTACATAATTTGAATTGCAAAGCCTTTGAAAATACTATCGACAACAGTGAAGAAACTACAAAAATTCCCAATAAGAAATTAAAGCTTTAACTTGTTTTTTTAAAATCATTTTTGTACTTTTATTGTATTTACAACAACATACATTTAAGAGAAGGGGCCAAAATGCCTTTTTTTAAAATATTCTGGCAAATTCAAGGCATCAAATCAGTTGAAATGACAGGAAATAGATAAATAATCCAACCATTTTCGTCCTGAAAGTATTATTAAGTTTATTGTCAGATGGCTAATCAAATTTTGTTTTATATATTTTAAAGGAGCACTGAAAAGTGAAGCATAAGAATCTTGTTCCTCCAAACAGATTGAATATGTTTATTTCTCTCTCTCAGGAATCCAGTTCAGATATGAAGTTTTTGTATTTGCAGGAACTATTTTCAGTATAATCTTCCCTGCCCAGATATCTTGGGGAATCAAGTGGCATATACACACTTATATTATTATAATTAAATAATTATTTTTGGTTTGAGAAACTGAGCCAGGAATCAAAGAATGTGTTGAGATATACACTCAAGGCTGAAAGTACGTCACCGATAACAAACAAGAGAAAGAACAGCTGCTGTGAAAAACAACACTACTAGATGATTGTATTAGTGCTGCCTGCTGCCAGCTGGACAAAGTGTACGTTCTACAAATAATAACAATGACAACATCAAACAAAGCCTTTATTTTGGTCATTGATCAGCATAAAATACAAGCAAGAAAAGTCATTCCATTTCAGTAATGCCACTGAACCTATAAGAGATAAAAGATAATTAACAGAATATTGAAAAAACCAAGGACTAAGATATCTATAACAATTTTTATATATATAATATTTTATTAATTTTCTCATTTTACAACTGAGTATTTAAAAAGCAACATGATGACTGGGTTAATCAGTTCAACAGTGTACATAAGTATAAATCTCATGTTACAACATCAAATATTTCCTCTCTTTTTCCCTTAATATCTACTATCTCATATTGGGCTAGTACAGTTCTTATTATTATCAACTAAATAAAAACATCTTTGTTACAATTATCAATAATTTTTAGCTTATAAATATCTTAATTGCGTTTGCACTCAATCCTTATATACAATCAATGTCCTGTTATTGCTTCCACCCCCAGGCTTTAATTTCCTATCAATATTCAAATTAACATTGTTATTTATGATTTCCAAATACTTTATGTTTAGGTGACCAAAAGTTTCCCTTATCTCAACTTCTCCCTTTTTCCCTTTTCATACCAAAGTCTAATAGTCCAGTTACATATCTTACCTATTCAATTATAATGTTACTCTATTTTCTAAAAGTTATCTATTTTCCACCATATTCAACCATCTAATTAGTAATATAATATCCCCTCTAATAAATCAAAGCCATTATTTTCTTCAGCCTTACTCTGGCTTTCTTCCTTTGCCAGCTAACTTTTCATGTCAATGCCTTTGAATCATCAAATAGTTCTCCCTCTATTTTTATATATATTATTTGGAATAAGAAAAACAGTTTGGTTGAAGTTTTTTTTTTTGGAAGAACAAGCCCATTGGTATTCATTAAATCGCCTGCCTATTACTCCAATTTCCCACAATTGTCCTGATAGGTTTATCTTTCATTCAGTCTGTTCTTCTTCCTTTTCCTCAAATTTCTTCTGATTTCTTAATTTGTAAAAAGTCTTTTCCAGTTTCAATATTGTCACTCCCTTTTCTGATTTTTCAGTTGGTTGGGTCTGTTGGTTAATTGTGTCTTCTGTCTTAATGTTTAGTTGTTCCAATTTTCCTTTTGTTTTCTGCATTGTTAAATCTTTGGTTGTAGTCAAAATTTGGGTTTGTATATTTAAGCTAGTACCTTGTTCCTTTATGTTGCTTCTTATTTTGTTACAAGCTGAAAAGATGGCTTTGTGTATTGATTTCAACATGGAAAGGACTTTTTCCTGATCTTCATCCATATTCTCTTGATAGTATGTTAAGTTGAAGACTTTAGAATCAAACGTTAAAAATATTTTTTTGTCTTTTGTATTGGACATCTATTTGGTATTGGACATCTATTTCACATTTTATAGGTGGTCTTTATAGTAGAAATTGTTTATCAAGTAAGAGTTTATAATCCAGGGTGTTCCATCATCTCAAATAATAACATATGCTTCTCATGTAGGGAAATAGGAAAGAAATTCCCCAGGTATAGCTCTGAAAGTAAACAAAAGTTTACATTCATAATTCAAGCAGGCCAGATAAGCCACCCAGAAGTCCCGTCTTTGCAGCTGGGTTTTTCAAAGGTGGTAACTGTCAAGGTCAAAGAAATTTTATCTGAAGTCTGGTCTTCAAGCCAAGTCTCTTTTAGGCAATAACAAATTGTAATACCATAATTTGCCACAAGATGTCACCAATGTCGTTTTATGCTTTTTAAGTCCAAAATTTATATGGTGGTTTTTCAAGTCTTATTTTTTTAAAAAATAAAAAACAAAAGTCTCCAATGAGAAAAAGAACATTTTTAGTCCCCAAGTTTCAAAAGAATATATATCCAATTAGATTAAAATTGTTCTTATAGTTTCTCTGTTTCTTCTGGGTAGTTAGTCACTGCTTTTCTTAGAGGGTGGGATAAAAATTCCCTTCCCTCTCTCCTCACAGGGGGAAAAATTCTTTGGGCAGCTTTTACAGGAAAGAAAACTTAAAATCTTAAAGAGAGTATCAGGTCTCACCCAGTTTCATCCACATTGCTTAAAAGTTGCTTGATGGTGCTTTTGACTTTGGCTGCCAGCAGCTTAGTGACCAGCCATATTGATATGGCTGGTCATTCCCCTACCGGTTTGGAGGGCTTCCCCAGATCAAACAGAAGGGCCGCCAGCCTCGCACGATCAAACAGGTGTCCCCTCCTTGCTCGTCGCCTCTACAGGGCAACTTTCTACCCTTTCCAGGGTCCCCCAGCAGAATAAATTCAAATGGGAAAGATGGAGCCTGTCTTACTGCGTCTTCGGCGCTGTGATGCCAAGCTGGAAGTCTATAACAATTCTTAATATTAATACAAAGATCATGAAAGAGAACCTCTAAGGGCCACAAAAAGGATCTAAAAACAAATGAGGATTTTAAAGCATTCAAGAGGAATTCTCAGTAAGTTTACGCATGCCTAATTGTAATAATGGCATGTTGAGGAAATAATTATTCATATGTGATTCTAATTTAGGTAGCCAGAGGTTTGGGATTTCAGAGTGGCAAATGCCCTGCTTGAAGAAAGCTATAAAGTAGAGAAAAGGGAGAAGTATAGATCAAAACCATGGCCAAAAAGAGAACATGAATTTGACAAAGAGTCAAAATGCTAGTTCTGCTTCAAATGAAAACATCAAACCCGCATCAGATTTTGTCCATAAACTGGGTGAGTCAACTGGAACAAACTCCACCATATCAAAAGAACTCTGAGTTTAAGGCATGCCTGATAACTGGTGAAGATCAATTTAAAAGAAATTGATGAGGTCTTTTAATTTTTATTAAATTACACCAGACTTTTTGTACAGTATTAGCAATTTATTGGGGAGGAGGGAGAGAAGCAAAATAATGATTTGCAAGAAGTTAATTTTATGACAGTCTCTCTTTTATTTATTTTTTCTTCATGTTTCTCTGCATTCTTCCCACCTCCAAGTAATCCTGAAGTTTAACTTGTACAGAAAGACAGCCAAATAATATGCCTATTGGATGCAGCAGGAGACCAACATTTAGACTGTTGTTTCTCTGTGTCACATATTTACTTATTTTTGTCATAGTTATGTAGTGTATACAGAGCCGAATGCAACAAAATTTCATTTTAATGTATGCCGATTAGTGTACATTCAAAGTGACAATAAAGTTATTATCCTACTCTACTCTACTCTACTCTACTCTACTCTACTCTACTCTACCCTACTCTACTCTACTCTATTCTATTCTATTCATCTTGCAGGTACTTATTCTTCAGCAGTTACTTATGAGTGAGGGTTATTTTTAAATATATATTTAGCACAATTCCAAAGTAACAATAACCACAATTAGGAATTGTAGTAAAAATGCACCCCCTCCTAGAGAATGAAATATTTTGGGGAATATTAAAAGAGGCAGGATAGAATATTTCCCCTAAAGGAGAAATGGAGAAAAATCTTAACAAAGGCAGAAAGCAGCCCCAGCCTCAAGCAAAAACATGAAGAGGCCAGTCTTTAGATTTTGTATCCATTCATAAAGATTGGGCCACTCTATTCATAAGCAAAGAGCAAACTCCAGATAAGCAACACAATTAGGCAAGCCAAAAGTTGACATGATTAGCTCAGACAAACACTTAGGATTTGCATTTCCCCTTTTGCCTATAGAGCCAGCCATGACCCCTACATAACCCCTTGGGAATCTGGCACAGCCATTAGAATATTAAAGGACAGGAACAGGCATCTCAAATACAAAGCCCCAAAGAAGGTATAAAAACCCACCTACTCTCAACTCCATTTTGTCAGAACTACATGCTGTGGTTGGTTCTGTTCATCCATTTTTTTTCTCCTGGCTTGGAACTGGATACTACTAAAATTATATCCAAATCTAAGCTGATAATCCAGCTTCTTTTGAATGCATCTGTGCCAAACAATTGTGCAAAACCAGATCAGAGTTTTGATCTGTCAGATTTGTCTCCTCCTCAACCAATTCTATGCTAAGGAAAATTATTGGTGGATTTTTTTTTCCCCCTGCTGGCAAGTGACATTTGGAGGTAAGACAAATGAAGTCAGGGGAATTCAGTAACAATTTTCTTTTACTTTTCTTCCATCCAGTTGCAGAAACTGCATCTGTTGCTACCCTCATTACTGAGATAGAATAGACCTAGGCAGGAGAGAGAGCTATTAATCTGGTGCCACCAAAGAGCAAGAGGAATGGTGAAAACAGTTACTTACCAATGCAATGTAAGTTCCATCCTTTGAGCTCATGTTATGATATCACATGCACATATGAAAAAAATGCATTTGATGAAAACAGTGAATCTTGCATCTGTCTATCATGCTGGCTAAGTGTTCTGCAAACCCAGAAATTGGAGAAATGTACATTAATTTTTTTACCAACAGGCTCGATTTTCTTACCAACAAGCCCCAATTTGTGTGAGTTGGAACAAATACCCCTAATACCATTTTCTTGAGCACAGGTTCTCCTCAGGGCTGAGTCCTAAGTCTGCTGCTGTTCACCCTGTTGACCCATGACTGTTGTGCTAGGTTTGCCACCAACCATATTGTGAAGTTCATAGATGATACAACAGTAGTGGGCCTTATTCATGATGACAATGTGGATGCTTACCACAAGGAGGATGAGGGGTTGGTGAACTGGTGTAAGGAAAACAGCCTAGTTTTAAATACCAGAAAAACTAAAGAGATCATTGTCGATTTCAGAAAAGCAGGCACAGCCACACTTCTCTGTGCATTAATGATTCACCTTGGAGATGGTTACCAGCATCAAATTCCTGGGTGTGCGGCTAACAAGTAGGCTAGCTTGGTCGCTGAACAGCGAAACACTGGCGAAACGGGCACAGCAGTGCCTGCATTTTGTCCGTCGCATGAGAAAGGCACATCTTCCTTCTCCTATCCTTACCACTTTCTACAGGGGGACAATTGAAAGCATCCTATCATACGGCATCACAGTCTGGTTTGGAAGCATCACTGCTTCAGACAGGAAGGCGGTGCAGAGAGTGGTGAGGATGGCTGAAAAGATCCTTCGCAGTTCCCTCCCTCCCATCCAGGACATAGCATAGAAGCATTGCTTGTGCAGGGTCTGTAAGATTATCTGGGACAATACACATCCTCTTCACGACCTGTTTTCCTTGTTACCTTCTGGGAGGAGGCTTTGTGGTATCCATAGCAGAACATCCAGATTCAGCCATAGTTTCATTCCATACAGCATTAACCTTGTGAACTCCTCTTTCTGTTATTTATTCAAGATGGACAGTATTTAATATTTATTTGTTATGTATATGTAGGGGTGTGGGTCTATAAATATGTTGTATAAAGTATGTTTAGGTGTGTGTCATGTGTATGTTTCACTTTGAGAGCGGGCAACTAAATTTCATTTTTTGATGTGTGCCGTTGCGCCCACAGTAAAAAAAATGACAATAAAGGTTATCTTATCTTATCTATCTTAATGTAGTTAAGATAAAAGCAGCATATATATGCTTCTATATTTTAGCCATTTCTTACAATATAATGACATAACTGATTAGTTTTATAGCAATGTTGTAAGGCAAACATTTTTTTTAAAAAAACAACTCTATATTTTCTTTCTGACAGAACTGTCAACTGGTGGGAGAGTCTACCATCTGACAAGGTAAATTCTCTGATTTTAGAGGTCTTTAAGCAGATGCTGCTCAACTTTCAGAGATGCTGTAATGGATTCTGCACAGAGTAGGATTTTGGGCTAAATAACCTTTACAATTTCTTCCAGTTCTGTGGTCATCTTTTTAATTGACCAGTCCTGGAAAAGGCAATTACTTACATGCTTGAAGGAATCCTAGCTCTACATATTTTCAATAAAATATGCCATTCTGTGAGAAACTAATAATGGAAAATACTAATTTTGGACTTTTTAAATATATCTTGATTTCCCTCAGCTAAGTTTTCTTCCTTCCTAGATCTTTGTGAGTCAAACTGTGCATTTAAATTGTGCATGTGTAAGCCCAGATAATGACATTACATTAGTTTCATAAAATAATCATTGTTTCGTCTTAATTATATGTAAATCCTGCCAAGTGGTCCTGCCAAGGGCTATTGCAACTATATATATATATATATATATACACACACACACACACACACACACACACACACACACACACACACATATAATTATCTTCCATGACACAAATTGCATCTGCTATATAAATATGACCGTGTGCATTGCTCCAAAAATAAATAAATAAATAAATAAACATACTACATCCTTCCAACAAACTTCTAATTTAAAATGTCAACATCTGCCAAGTTTCCATAAAGGCAGAGCTTTCCATACTCGTTTATTTTATTTCCATTTTATTCAATGTAATTGTAGGCAGCAATTTCAACTGGCTGCACAGCTGTACTGATACAATTTTGAGACTCAAAATTTCAAAAACATTCCTTGAACTCAGTTAGTGCCAATCCTGTGAGTCCTTAGCAAATCAATAGGACAGAAGCAAAGAACTAAAAATATCTTAAAGATCCATTCTTAAACAGCTTGCTGATTTTTGCAGGGCAAAATCTGAGAAAAATTGGGTACATTCTGTGAATTTGGATTATGGAAGAAAGCTCCCAAAATATCAATATAGTAAGATTGTGTAACACATTTTATGTCAATTTGGTGCCATCAGATATGTTGGACCAGTGCCTCTCGTATCTCTCCAATACGTCGTCATATTGAGAAAGATTGCCTATTTATTATTATTTTTTAATATTAAATTTTAATTTATCCATTCCTTACATATTCTATAGTTCTTTAGTTATTGGACAGCCTTAACTGTAATAAACAAATTGATAAAGGCAGCCAAAAGGCCAAAAATTTGTAGGGGACTCTTGACTTACAGAGAAGACGAGTAGCGTAAAAATTTAATAAAATAAATAAACAATCTGACTTATTAATTCAACCTATTAACTTTAAGCTAAGCTGGTGAGGACATTAAAGAAGAAGAGTTCTTCTGAAAGCCATTTAGCATGTTTTCCTGCTTTTTTTTTTTTTTTTTTTGCAAATGCCAGACTTAAAAGGAAGAGTTCTTTCAATGGAAGAGTTGTTTCTAAAGCTGCTAAGAACAATTGACCCCAATTTTTGTTAACATGTCGCAGTGTTGATCTGCTTTTCTTTCACAGTGGACGATAGACTTGGGAAAGTAATAACTGCGTAAAACTCTATCTGATAAAAACTTCTACATTGGCATCTGGCAGCAGCACAGAGGAGCTCTAACTCTTTCTCAAATCGGAGGCATTAACTGGATAATTGATAGTCATTATAGTCAATATATGTTTAAAAAAAAAGAAAGGGAAGAATAGGTTTGGGGTTATTATTGGCCAATGTTTGGAACAGATGAAAAAGCGCTAACAGGAAGACGTCTCACAGCTTTTTCAGAACCGCCATTCAAAGGAAATCATTACAAAGTGGAGAAGCAAAAGGCTGGTGTCATTGCCTTGTTCTGAAGGATCTGAAAAGTTTTTGTATCGTCAATCTCTGATTTCATTACTCCTAATAACTCATTTCCTGACGGAACCTATAGAGCTGCCTGAAACAGAGATCCAGGTCCTTTTAGCTAAGCCTTTATCTCTTTGTCACTGAAGGTTTCTTCTTCTATACCTCCATTCATCTGCTCTACTGGAAGAGCCACACGGTGTTAGAATATGGCTGTTCGAAGCTAATATGCATTAGTTTTTTTAAAGCTGTTTTTTTACACATAACCTATTGTAGTCATATAAAACCGCAAAGGCCATTTCCCCCTCATTTCCTGGGAATGGCCCATTACATTGTGAGCAATCTACCCATGCTTTTTTAAAGAAAAGACTTTGAACTCAATACAAAAGGAAAATATAATCATGTACAGCTATAAAGACCGCTTTCCCCCCCTTTTGTGAAGTCTAACTGAGGTGGATGTGTAGCATGGTAATGAAGAGATGGATCGTCTTTATTAGCAAGCTCGGTGAAAAAGGGTCTTTTTAGAACTTCAACTTTTCTTACTTTCTCAGTTTTCTTGGTATCTGAAACAGGCGCTTTCATTTCTTGACTTTCTTTTCAATGCACCAAGAAGATTGACAAAGCCAGGCCAGGTAACCTACCAACCAAAAAAGGCTAGAAGCAGGATCAGATAATTTGGATGTTTCCATGTGAATAAAAGTTTCCTTGTATTTCCACCTAAAATGTTACATTTTTTGTTGAGAAATACCCATGAAAAGTTAGTGAGTTAATATAATTCTTTTTCTCCAAATGGAAGCTAGGAAGATCTAATGAAATCGACTTTCCCCAATCCAACTATTGCTAAGAAGGACTAGTTATAGTATTTAACCTGAAATAGTTTAATATACTAAGTTTTCCGACAATTATTTGGTGATCTTCAACCCACTCCCTTCTTATTTTCATGGAGCTTTTCATATTTCTCCAACTCCTCCTACTCATTTTTTTCCTGGTATTTTGCCCATGTATCTATTACTAGGCTCTTTTAGTGTGTTCAGAATTCCATTTTATGCTTTTTCAATTAAAAATTGAATATATAGTTTAATGAAGGCCAAATATAATTTAAAACTGTTGATCAGCAGACCAAGAAAATTGTGTGCAGTACAGATTCTGTTTTTACAAAGACTGAAAACCAAAGAAGAAAACAAATTTACACTGCATTTATTGCATATATACTATTCAATCAAAACATGAACATTGTCAGGTGAAATACAGCACTGCAGGAATAGAAAAAGTCTAGTTCAAAGGAGCTATCCTGTCCTTCCATGTTGGTTGGAGAGTATATTGAAGTTTAAGATATTTGTAGGGCAACATGTTGAGGAATGCTACTGAAAAATGATATTATTGTCCCACTATGAAGACAAATTAATAATTGGTTTTGACTTACTGGATTCTTCATTTTGTTTTTTGTTTTTTTCCAATCTGCAAGTATCTCTATTTATCATTGAAGGATTGCTATAAATGAAATATTTTTATACCATGGGAATCACTAGAAAGTTGGCTGGACAATGATAGATAACAGTATTTTATAAGCATGCTATAAACTCAAATATATTTTCTCCAGATGGCATGGAATATGTACCGAGAGATTTATGTTGGTCCAGTTGGTTTTGTAATTAATGCTGACTGATCGTCTCCATGTACTTTTAACAGATTCAAGTAAGTTTGAATCCATTGGAAATATCTATTGCTCTGGTTTTTATTCCATTGTTGGGCACGTTGATTCAAAAGTTAGTTAGCCTTACTGACTGGGGCCTACTATAAAGATACATAGGATCAGAACCAGAACTTCTTATTTAATTAAAACTCATTGATAGATCTTTAGAAAAATAGATAATAAACTCTAGTTCTTGAATTCTTAAAATCTTCTCTAATTGGATTATATCATTAAAAGTTGAAAGGCTAACTTATTACTATGTGATGATTTTCTTCTCCAACTTTTGATTCTTTGTGTGTTACCTATTTTGAGTCAAATGCTTTCATGGCTTCCTAGGCAATAGGACACAAACCAGATAGAATTAATTATTTTAAAAGCCCCATTTATTTAAATATGGGGGGGGGAATGTTTCATTTCCTCCATTAAAAACAGTATGATTTAGGAGACTTCAGTGATAGTTGGATTCAGCTCTATGCCAACTTCTAGGAAAATAGCATGTTAAAATCTCTGGCACTATGCACATTACTCTTCCTTCAGAATTACTGAAGCCTACTACTTTCTAAATTTTATTTCATGGTACACAGCCAATTAACTTTTATGGAATATTACCTAGTATAATGGAGATTCTCCAAATAAGATTCTATAGAAGCTACTATCTCTGACTTTGTCTTCGGTATACAAATTCTGTATCAGACACTTTATTTCATTTTTTCCCTCATGTTACTCCTTGAAGGATTCATATTCCCACCCCTCTTCCTCCTCTTTCTATTTTCCAGACCTTGTATTATTTCAGTGCTTTGAGTGTTCCACTCCATCGTAGTAATTTAATTGGTCAAATATTAAAAGTGTTAGAATTTAGGAGTTGTGAGGAAAGATATAAAGACCATTAAATGACACAACCAGATGAAATACCAGGCAAACCCAGACTTGGGAAATATAGACAGTTCCATTATTGACTCTTGAAACATATACTGCTTGAGCTGCTGAGATGAAGATGTAAAATTTAATTATTCATTAATGGTTGTTGTTGTTAATTGTTGTTAATTGCGAAGTCGTGTCCGACCCATCGCGACCCCATGGACAACGTTCCTCCAGGTCTTCCTGTCCTCTACCATCTTCTGGAGTCCATTTAAGTTCACACCTACTGCTTCAGTGACTCCATCCAGCCATCTCATTCTCTGTCGTCCCCTTTTTCTATTGCCCTCAATCTTTCCCAGCATTAGGCCCTTCTCCAGTGAGTCCTTCCTTCTCATTAGGTGGCCAAAGTATTTGAGTTTCAACTTCAGAATCTGGCCTTCTAAAGAGCAGTCGGGGTTGATCTCTTCTAGGACTGACCGGTTTGAACGCCTTGCAGCCCAAGGGACTCGCAGGAGTCTTCTCCAGCACCATAGTTCAAAGGCCTCAATTCTTTGGCGCTCAGCCTTTCTTATGGTCCAACTTTCGCAGCCATACATTGCAACTGGGAAAACCAGTTATTAATGGTACTCTTATTGAAAAAAAAATCTGCCTCATGTTAGTCTCAGTAGCACATTGGAATGAGATGGGAATAAGATGGCACAGTTTTGATATGCAGGGTAGGTTTATTATTTCAGATCAGAAGAATATCACATCTAAATGCTTCCCATCTGGAAAGAAAAGAAAGGAACCCAGCCTTCTGCAAACAGAAACTAACTTGACAGGAAGAGCGGTGGACTCTTTTTCAGTGGTGGGATTCATCCGGTTCGTACCACTTCGGCAGAACCGGTAGCTAATTTTTTGTTGCCCAGGCCCAGAATGGACTTCTGGAAGTGGCACCCACACAGAGAACTGATTGTTCACATATTTGAATCCCACCACTGCTCTTTTTCTTCTAAAATGGAAATTTGTAACACATCAAAATGTATGATGAAGCGATGAGATGTTGCTGGCTATTCTGAAACCCCTGGATTTTATTCGGCTGCTTGAATAGACCAGATGTGCAATGCAGCTGCAAAGTGGTAATGGATGGGTCAGAGAGGCAGTAAGAGCTCTGTGCTAAATCAGGGTAGATAACCTATGTTTCTCCAGATGCTAGTGAATTGGCCAAATTGGCTATGAAACATTGGGAGTTGTGCCAAAAGATTATATGGCCATTGTCTTCTAATGAATTAACTGGGCAAATTAGGAACATATTTGCATTTTCTTAAGAATAAAATACCGTATTGCAGCTTAGTTCTGAGAAAATGCACAATCTTCTCATTACAAATTTTTCTTTTGGGGGAAAAAAACTCATAAGCAAAAATTGCAGGGTCTGGTGTGAATAATTGTCTGATAGTTGGCAGATGGAATTTTTAAAAAATGGTTTGTACCCTACAGAATGACAAGCAAAAATAGTACAGATTAAGAGATAACAGAAACCTTGATTAATTAGTATCTATTCACTAATGTTTTCCAGTAGAACTGTGTTTTCTATTTTTCAGGGGTCTCAGAGTTGCAATCTGAACAAAACAATAGCATACTAATGAAATTACAATTCATTAAGGAAGGTACTGTACTGTAAGCAGCAAATCATTTTTTAAAGCATCCTTATTCTATCTTTGTAAGGTTTAATACGATCTTAAACCAATACTATCTTGCATATATTTAATCAAATATGAACAAATTATATTATTACTTTATAGCTTTTTGCCCAGCCAAAAATGGGTATTCGATATGTAATTCACAATGAAGGGGAACCCCCACCTCAAAACCCTTTTACTTATTATTTTGTCTCAAAGGTGTTTTTTTCAGGAGGCAGCTTGTGTTTCTTTAAAAGATTCACAACCATCTAGTCAGAGCTGAATGAGAAGCGAAACATCTTCAAAAGAAACACAAGAAAGTCCAGTTGCCTCTGGAAAAAAGCACCTTTGGGACAACCTTACCTGGATGACTGAGAATCACTATAGACATTTATTATTTTGTTGTTTAAAAAAAAACCATTAACCCAACATTATGGATTTTACAATGTTTTTAAACTTTAACCACAAGTCCTCAAAACAGGGTACAGGAGACTGTATGTTTGGATAATAAGCTTGTTTCTAGCAAACATTAAGGAAACACATAACATATAATTTTGTGAACTGTTGTTTAAAGAAAAGAAAAACTATTCTTTGTAAGTGCCATACTTATAATCTGTCAGGATCATAATTAATAAAGGAATGGCAAATAAAAATTCATTGAAATGAATACATACAATGGTCCTCTAAGAATCCCAGAGGACTATACAAATTATTTTATCCATCCATTCATCCATCCATCCATCCTCTCATGGTACCTCAAGTGGGTTAACTTACTGAATGTGTCCAAAATCCAGGACCCATGACTCCTGAAATAATAAAATTTGTGGAAGTTGTGACTGCTGGGCTGCTGCTATGGTAATGCGGTTTTCATTTTCAATGTTCTGTGGCAGTTTCCCAGTCAGTCTCATAATCCCTTGCTCCCTCCCCCACCCAGCAGCAAAGAATTCATTCATCATGTGGCTCTTAAAGAACCAACAACTTTAAGGTACATGAAGAAAGGCCTGGATATTTTTATTGCTTTATGTGTCTCTTTTGTTGTATCTGCACCATCTATCTACACCCCATTTTTGTTCAGGAACTCAAGGCACATATATAGTGCTCCATCTGTTTACATTATTTCTCAATAATCCTGTGACGTATGTTGGGCTGAAAGTCACTGTTATGTCCTAGGCCTGCTGAAGAATTTCAGCAGGCCCAGAAATGTTGCAAATGGTCCTGGGCAACCGAAAAGCTGCCTGGGACTAGACTGGCTGGCGCTGGACTTGTGCGCATGCGCAAGGCACGAAAAAAGTTTCTTCCCTATTGGCTGGACTGCCTGGGTTTGGGAGACTATAAAAGGCCTGCATGCCTGCTTGGTTGCAAGTTGAGTTAAGGAATGAATAAAGAAGTACTTGATTACAACATGTGTCTTGCTTCAATGCCGTGAACTCCAAAACATAAAAGTCACCAAGTGGGATGCTAAGACTGCAGATGCAGTGGAAACTGGACCTCTCTGGAGTCAGTCAAATGTATTAGCTACTATAGCTTTGTCCTTGCCCATCCGTTTCATTTTTCAGTTGCTTCCTTCCAACTGAGGGTAGACTGGCCTCTTCTTCAGCTACCAGAGATCATGGAAGATCAGTCCTACCCTAGCCCTCAGTGACTCACATGATCCTATTTTTAATCTGTCTTTGACAGTTTCCTGCAACTCACTGGAGAAGCTGGCAGGGGTTCTAAACTGTTCTGAGGTAAGAATGGCAATGTACAGCAAGCACTGTGGTGAAAAGAATGGCAGATCAACCATAAATGTTGTCATCAAAAGCATCCTTTGTTAAACAAAAAGCATCTATATGTATCTTGCTATGCATCTTTCTTCTTTTTTTAAAAATGGTATTTTCCACTTTAATTTTAAAACTCAAACAATAGCAATCAGCTTGTGGTTATTTTGTTTCTCTGTTTAGGTAAGGAAATATCTCTACAAGGATGACCCAATGAGTCATGGATGTGTGTGTGTGTATATGTATGTGTGTGTGTACATGTATAGAGTGAGGGGGGGGGGAAAGTATTTGATCCCCTGCTGATTTTGTACGTTTGCCCACTGACAAAGAAATAATCAGTCTATAATTTTAATGGTAGGTTTATTTTAACAGTGAGAGACAGAATAACGACAAAAAATCCAGAAAAACACATTTCAGAAAAGTTATAAATTGATTTGCATTTTAATGAGTGAAATAAGTATTTGATCCCTTTGCAAAACATGACTTAGTACTTGGTGGCAAAACCCTTGTTGGCAATCACAGAGGTCAGACATTTCTTGTAGTTGGCCACCAGGTTTGCACACATCTCAGGAGGCATTTTGTCCCACATCTCTTTGCAGATCCTCTCCAAGTCATTAGGGTTTCGAGGCTGACATTTGGCAGCTAGAACCTTCAGCTCCGTCCACAGATTTTCTAGGGGATTATGGTCTGGAGGCTGGCTAGGCCACTCCAGGAACTTAATGTGCTTCTTCTTAAGCCACTCCTTTGTTGCCTTGGCCGTGTGCTTTGGGGTCATTGTCATGCTGGAGTACTCATCCACAACCCATTTTCAATGCGCTGGCTAAGGAAAGGAGGTTCTCATCCAAGATTTGATGGTATATGGCCCCGTCCATCATCCCTTTGAAGTTGTCCTGTCCCCTTAGCAGAAAAACACCCCCAAAGTTTAATGTTTCTACCTCTATGTTTGATGGTGGGGATGGTGTTCTTGGGGTCATAGGTAGCATTCCTCCTCCTCCAAACACGGTGAGTTGAGTTGATGCCAAAGAGTTCGATTTTGGTCTCATCTGACCATAACACTTTCACCCAATTCTCCTCTAAATCATTCAGATGTTCATTGGCAAACTTCAGATGGGCCTGTATATGTGCTTTCTTGAGCAAAGGGACCTTGCAGGCACTGCAGGATTTTAGTCCTTCATGGCGTAGTATGTTACCAATTGTTTTCTTGGTGACTATGGTCCCAGCTGCCTTGAGATAATTGACAAGATCCTCCCGTGTACTTCTGGGATGATTCTTCACCATTTTCATGATCACTGAAACTCCATGAGGAGAGATCTTGCATGGAGCCCCAAACTGAGGGAGATTTTGTGTTTCTTCCATTTGTGAATAATCACACCAATTCTTCTCACCTTCTCACCAAGCTGCCTGGCGATAGTCTTGTAGCCTGTTCCAGCCTTGTGTAGGTCTACAATCTTGTCCCTGACATCCTTGGACAGCTCTTTGGTCTTGGCCATGGTGGAAAGTTTGTAATCTGATTGACTGATTGCTTCTGTGGACAGGTGTGCTTTATACAAGTAACAAGATGAGATTAGGAGCACTCCCTTTAAGAGAATGTTCCTAATCTCCACTTGTTACCTGTATAAAAGACACCTGGGAGCCAGAAATCTTGCTGATTGATAGGGGATCAAATACTTATTTCACTCATTAAAATGCAAATCAATTGATAACTTTGTTGAAATGCATTTTTCTGGATTTTTTTGTTATTTTGTCTCTCACTGTTAAAATTAAAATTATAGACTGATCTTTTTTTGTCAGTGGGCAAATGTACAAAATCAGCAGGAGATCAAATAATTTTTCCACCACTGTACATACACACCCCAAAAATTGATACAATAAATTAATAGGCATGGCTATTGAACAGGGAGGAACCCTGTTAAAATGGCAAGGCAAACAAGTTTTTTTTTAATTCAGCATCAAAAAGAACATTGAATTGATGCTAGTTGTAGTTCTTTACATCTTATGTAAACTTAACAAGGAACAAGGACTTATTTTGAAGGCCTTAAAATACAAGAGGAAGAAGTACTCCTCCAGATGTTTGGATGGCAATCGTCTGTGGGATTTAAAGCCAGGCATCAGCACCCTGAAGTGGGCTTGACAGTACATGAGGATGCCCCTCTACACAATTCCTGCAGAATGATACAATATGGCCACACCAGGGTAACAGATTAATATGATCAGGCTATCCTGGCCCAGGAATGGCTGCAGTTTGATCAGATCAGAGGTGTTCCAAATCACTGAAGCCACATAAATGTCTATATTGATAGAGATGTCTGCTCTTTCAGGAAATGTTGTTCCAACCGTGGCTTGTTGAATATTTATTCCTGGCTCCACATCACAACATTCCTGTATCCTACCAAGATTATTTATAGGCCCACATCTGACTCATTAAGGATTCAAGACAATAGCTCAGCTCCTCTACAGTGCAGTTCAGATAATACAGAGAAAGTGAACTCATATGGCCAACAATTTGACATAGATATTAAAGAGCTTTGGGCTGATGGAACCTTTCACTATCCTAGCAGCATGGCCCCATCCTCACATTACAACCATTGGAATGGAGTCTTTAGAACAGTGGTTCTCAACCTTTTTAATGCTGCGACCCCCAATCGGTCGTAAGTCGACGACTACTCAACTGGTGCAGCACCGTTTGCAGAATGGGACTTTTGGCGGGCTCAGCAGGGCAAAGACAGGCTGGACAATTCCTATTGGCTTTTGAAAGCCAATAGAATTAGACTCTATTCAAGAGAGTCTATTCTATTGGCTTTCAAAAGCCAATAGAATAAAAGGGAGTAGTACAGCTAAGGAAAAGAGGAAAAAAATGGCGGACTGCGTTGTTTGGCGACCCCCGTGAAATGGTCGTTCGACCCCAAATGGGGTCCTGACCCACAGGTTGAGAACTACTGCTTTAGAATCTGCATAATAGCTATTCTGGATACCTCCTACAGAATTATACCCAAAGTGACATCTAGATCACAATACATCTTGCAGTTTTCTTTCCCAAATGCCTTGCTAACCTCTCACAACAGATTTGCAACCTATCTTTCCTCAACTACAGTGGCTTTACCACATAGAAAACATTGTTTGCACAGCTTCCGAATGGCACTGTAGAGGCAGAGAAAGAGACGAGTAACAGAATTATTGAGATGTTGGGTATAATAGGAGGAGTTAGAATTCAGCGTTAAAAGTGCATATCTCAGGGTAGATTTAAAGGTCACCTCAGTCAGAAAACAAGATGAGGAATTTTATTTAGTCCAAAAAGAATGGAATTAGAAATTCCTGATTCCACTCAGGTGCAATTCACTCTAGTTTCACCTTGTGAGTAGCAGTGAAATATCTACACCACATGGGCAGGAAGTCTCAAGTTCTATCAAAACATTTTCAGAAAAAAAGTTTTTTAGCTTAGAGGAAAGGGACGTTAATTTAATTCTTGAGGAAATCCCACCATCTCCAATAAGGTTTAGGACTTCTCAAATCACTGTTACCCAGTGTATGTATGGATTCATGGCCTTTTTTTAGTACTAAGTCATTTTCTCAGAATCATATGAGTCATACTACATTTCTCATTTCCTTATTATACGAAGGCAATTCGAAAATAAACCTCCATTTGGTTATCAATGACAGACAATCGCAGATACAGAACTTTTATTATACACATTAGAAAACTACAACATTACATTCCTTTTTGACATAAAATTGAGGCACTTGTCATAATGTCTTACAAGGTTTGAAATTCCTTATTAGTAGTCGCTCGGCACCAAATCTGGGCTTTGGGGATGGGGGTGATCAAAAACATCCCAATGGAACTGCTTCAAAAGTTCTTGGGTGCGTCTAGCGGTGTGCAGGTGAGCATTATCATGAACCAACACCATACTGAAGTCAGCATGCCCCGACATTTGTTATGGATGGCTCATCTGAGTTTTTGTAACATTTCACAGTAGACTTCTGAATTGATGGTCGAACCACGCTCCATGAACTTCACTAGCAGTACTCCTTTGGCATCTTCACATTTGGCAGGATTTTCTATGGCACCATTTCCAGCGTGGTGTTGGTTCATGTTAATGCTCACTCGCACACTGCTAGATGCACCCAT